CTCAGTTATATGATTTGCTCTTTTTAAAATTTCCCCCTAATGTAAGTATTGGTGGATATGGGATTAACGATGAAAATAAAAAAATATTTGAAGAAATATTATATATAACGAGTGCAGCTTATAAAAACTACGATGTAGCATCAGGATACAATTATAGTAGAACAAAAAAGTACACTGAAGTCATAAAACCGTTGTTGGATCACAGAATGACAACTTGATCTATACAAGGCTCCGGTATAATACCAAATAGAAAAATATACACTGGAAAAACGGTAGATTACATATATTGGAATAAACCTAAAGAATTAATCGATCGCTTACGTTGACTGTGGAGTTCTAAAATGGCTGGTCATTCAGGACACGAAAATGAGATATTATCCATAATAGAGGAATTGAGAGAACAAGGAATTATATATTAAAAAATGAAATTATACATAATTTACAATATATAAACAAAGCATTACTTTAGTTTTAGTCAATTGTAATTCGGACACTATAGAACGATGGGCTCCATTGACAAATTTGGACGACGAAAAGTGGCTAGTTGTATAAGTTTCCGTGGTCCGCAAGGTGTCGGATTCAAACTTACGAATGAAAAACAGTATGATATTCAAGGTAAACAATTAAAAAACATTGGTGAGCCCACAAGCGAAAATGATGGAACGAGTATGCAATACGTAAATAAAATTATAAATGCTTGTAAAAAAGACACCCTCAAGGCATTGCAACAATCAGCCAATCTCATGAGCGATAATTTTGTGGCTTTCGTGAAGAGAGAAAGAGCAGAAATCGTTTTAGAAGTTGTTAAACTGTTTAAAATTTCTCAAAATAAAATGGAAGAAGAGATTAGAGATATTAAAGTTAAATTAGATGAATTAAAAAGTGACCTTGAAAAGAAATTAGAAACGCAAAATAATTTGGTAAAAGATATGGAAAAATTTGAGGAAATCCCTGTAAGACATCATGCCTCCGTTTAGATCATAGTTATAGATTGACATGAGTTATGTTAAGGATATATGTACTATAATAAAAGAAGAAACAATTCGTCGTGATAAGACATTACAAAAAAGAACGTATACACTGTTCTATTAGTAAACTTGAATCATAATGTTCATTAGTGACACAAAACGACAAATTGTCAACGAATTACACAAACCGGCACGAAGAAACTTTTGCAGAAGGAGAACGATCATTAAAGGGTATGCAGACCTTTTCCAAATAGACTTGGCTGAAATGCAAGACTTTGCAAAAAAAAAAGGTTATCGATATATACTCATAGTAACTGACTGTTATTCTAAATATGTGTGGGCGAAGCCGCTAAAGAAAAAAACAGCTGACGAAGTTTCTGATGCAATGAAAAAAATTTTTCGAGACGCTGGTTATTATTACCCACGCAATCTGCAGAGCGATCATGGACTTGAATTTTATAATCGAGAATTCTCCAAATTCATGCATCTGCATAAAATAAACCATTATTCTACATTTAGCACAAAAAAGGCCGCAATTGTCGAACGGACTATAAGAACATTGAAAACTTGGATATATAAAGAGTTTTCAGCTAGAGGTAATTATGTGTGGATTGATATTCTACCAAAAATTATAAGTTCGTATAATAATAAAGTTCACCGTACTACTGGTATGAAACCCATCAAAGTAAAACCATCCACAGTATTGAAAGTGTATAACCACCCAAAAGTTGCCCTGAAACCAAAATTCAGTTTTGGAGACATTGTTCGAATTAGCAAATTCAAAAATATTTTTCAAGAAGGTTTCACAGCAAATTTTTCAACAGAGCTATTCAAAGTGATTAAAGTAAATATAACAAATCCAACAACGTATGCGTTAGAAGATATGCAAGGTCAACCAATCAAAGGATGTTTTTATGAGTGGGAACTGTTGAAAACTAAATATCCCAATGTATATTTAGTACAGTCAATATTGAAGAAAAAGAAAAAAAATAACAAAACTTTATTTTTTTGCAAGTGGCTTGGACTTCCAGCATCCCAAAATTCTTGGATAAATAAGGCAGACTTTGTTTAATCATTATTATAAAACTCATATTTATAGTTAGCATTAGGTATTATTGTTTTTTTGTGAATGGTTTTTTGTGATTAATTATTGTAATAAAATTTGTATCACTGAAAGTTATAATAAAAATAAACAACAAATATGATGAGTTTTATTTTTATATACATAAATTTCGGATTGTGGTAAATGGAAAAAATATATGTTTAATAAAAAATATATTTACTGCATATAAGTAATTACAATATTGTTTTATGTATCAAATAATTTCGAAGTAATCACACCAATATCAAAGCCAAATTCTCAAGGTGACATTCTCAAGCAATATTTATATGTAACATTTAACTGAACATATGTTAAATGAATGTCATTACATGAGTGATATTTTTTCTTTTTTACACACAAAACAAAAATTAATGTGCATTTATTTTACTTAGCGCTAGCTCAAGGCCACCTTGAAATATTTGAATTATTTAACTCGAATCGAAATAGGCGTGATCAAAACTATTGATCGTTTCGCTTGAAAGTTTAGTTACATAACAAAATGCTGTCAACATATTTAAATTTTATTTTAGCGCCAAACGTAGGCGTGATATCGATCGCAGTCTGTTCAAGGTTAAGCTATGTATATAAATATTTAAATTTTATTTTAACCGCCGAAATAAATAGGTGTGGCTAAGTATTGATCGTTTCGCTTGAAGGTAAAGTTATAGAACAAGACGTTGTTGGCAGCGACATATTTAAATTTTATTTTGGTGCCGAAGTACATGTGGTTTCAAGGTTAAGTCAAGTCAAACAGCATGTGCTTTTTCGCGCGTTTTTCCTCTCATGGATTATTTGGGTTCGTTCGTTGATTAGCATCGGTATTGGTATTCGTTCAAGGCCACACTCGTAAAATATTTGAATTTCTCTCGAGTAGGCGTGGTTTATAAAATATCGATCGCTTCTAGTGTCCTTTGAAGGTTATATTATACAGAAATATTTGAATTTTATTTTAACCGACATTTTAAGTAGGCGTGGCTATTTTATTGATCGTTTCGTTAGTTTGAAGGTTATATTATATATAGAAATATTTGAATTTTATTTTAACCGACATTTTAAGTAGGCGTGACTATTTTATTGATCGTTTCGTTAGTTATTCTTTCATCCGTTAAATAGATGACTATGTTTTAGGAATTGTAATAGTTATGTATGCATTATTAATTACACACACTTTGCAGAACTATATATTGACTATTATTTTAATATATTTATTTCTTTTCTCTTTTATACATCTTGAATTCTATAAATGTCATTTCAAGGTTAATTATGCTATTTATATACTATTTTTCTCCTCTCATTTAACAAATAAGACAACAATAAAAGTTTAAAAATATTTATATTTATGTTATTTATTCCACATTACAATAAGAGACAAATAGTTAATACAATAAAATTTGTTAATATTAGATATATAATATTATACAATTTTAAGATAATATATAAATTACATAAAAATTTAATGATATGTTATATATCATCTTCATTACCAGCATTATTTTCTTGAGCTGCTAATTTGTATTTTACAACAGTTGCATATGGTAGATAATCCAACAAATTAGAAATAACAAATTGTTTTAGTCCTATCTCCACCATTTTCACACAAAAATTATCCAAATTTATATTTTCACTTAAATAATTACTACATAATGATGCACCACGGCGATGTTTTTCATAATCCTCCTCCAACTGTTTAATTTTTTCTTCAGAGAAGCAGTAATTCATGTCATAATTAGATGCGTGAAGACAATCTATTGCCACACAATCTAGCTCGTTCATCAATCTCTTTACGGCTGACTGGAGGTCCTCGGCATCGGTCCAATTTTGACTAGCATAATGCATCCACATTTTCAATAGTTGTTCTATAAATAAATAAAAAAAAAAAATATGAAAACGGGTATTATAGTAATAAGATTAAAAAATTATTTATTACCTATTGGAATTATAAAACATTAACAGAGAAGCCACCTTATATTATTATACTGACTAAATAGTGTAAATTACTTATATTGACTAGAATATACTCTATATATAAAACATATTTGTTACTACTAGATATATATTTTTTTATTTAAATTAAATAAACAAAAATTAAATGACAATTCCAAATTTTAACAACGCTTTACATTTACCATCTTTAAATGCAGGCTCACTTTGACCTAAATAAGTTATCGTATATTGTTCCCAAGAGGAATTCATTTTATTCAAAATATACTCTGTTATCTCTGTTCTGTAACCCTCTTTGGTAAAAAACACTTGAAATTTAAATTACACTTTTCATCAAACAATATAGCTAAAATGGACTTTATCAATTTCCAATGAGGAAACTGACCTTCGCATAATATCGTTGAATTTACCGTTAATATTACTGTTTATTTTATTTTATTCATCAATTGATAATGCCATTTTATATTATAATTCCCTGTAATATCTAGTCAGCAATAAATACTATAATTGTTCTCACTTCAAAAATTTTTTTTTACAAAATTTATACTATTGTAGACGCTCACTGCAGGGTTGGCACACAACGAAATGTAATTATTCACTTTGATCTCCTCTCGTATATAGAGAATACACTGCAATTCATATGCACCATGTCATTTCAAGGTTAAATGCAATGTTTAAACGTAAATCAAGCGAATGACGTCACATAATGTAATATTTTTTCGTCTTTTGAACTAGCTCAAGGTCACCACACCCTCATAAAATATTTATCCACACCGATAGACATATTTCAAATTTAATTTGAAGGTTAACTGCAATGTTTAAAACCTAAGACAAATGAAGATCATAAACAATCTTCCTTATTTACACCACACTACACAAATTTAATTTCAAGGTTAGCGGCAATGCCAAAGTCAAATGAAGGTCATCTTCTCATGTAAAATTCCTTCTCTCTCATATACCATACAAATCTAATTTCAAGGTTAACTGCAATGCAAAGGTCAAATGAAAGTCACCAACCTACGTCATCTCCTTCGGCTTTCAGCCTCAAGGTCATCCATACACCATCGTCATTGGCCTTCGGCCTCAAGGTCATCCCAAGCCAGAAAGTGGAGGGGGGAGACTCAGAGACCGCTAAAACACCCTACTCATACTGTCATTAATTTTAAGAGCAGATAGAGAAAAATGAGTATAATACGATGGCGTGATTAAAAAAATAATAAATGCATATTTAAGCAGAAAAAAATATTTTCAAATGCATCTCTCGACGGCAGCATAAGAGTATGGAAAGTGGCAGATTTTAAGTGTCTAAGTATTATTAAGGAAAACAACGATGTTCAGATCCTTTGTTGCGTATTTCAACCAATTAATAACAACTTGATATTAGTATCATTCCTAGTAATTATTTGATTGCAATTTTTTTTATAACAGACATATTGTCCTTATCTGACGTTCAGGCAACAACAAAGGTGAATTGAGGATTGCAAACATCTCGACCGGAAGATATTTAAAATATGTTTGTAGAATCGGGGGAAATATTTTAAGTATTGCGTTCGATACAAACGGCAAATTTTTATGGGCAGGGAACGATAGGGTAAGTACGTCATACTTGCAGTATTACTTGTTTTGATGCACCGTTAACCAACAGCTAAAAAATTGACTAAAAAGTACTTATTGGCGAACATATAAAAATTTGTTAGTTAATTTTTTATCAAATTCGTTTCCATCTCTACATCATTTTCTTTGTAGGGCGAGATCGTTTCGGTGTTTTGCGAACTTAACGAGGCGCTCTGTAAAATGAAGAAGTTCTCGCTTGCCTCTCATTGTTCTATAACGAGTTTAAGCTATCGTGCTTGGATAAGCAGAGAGGCAAGGGACCCTTTACTTCTGGTCAATGCCACCGATAATTCTATGTATTTGTTAAGGTAGACAGATTTAAATACGTTTCCAACTTACGATAAAATAATGTAACTTGATTTGTTCGCAGCATTACAGATTGCGAAGGCGGCCTGCAGTTAAAGAGAAAATTCCAAAACCGGCATCAGAAGCACATAGTGAGATCGACGTTTTGCCCCATCATGTCCTTCAGGCAAGGGGCGTGTGTTGGTAATTTTTGTTTCAATTTCACTACGTGCACGTGATAAACTATGTTTTTAGTTACAGGAAGTGAAGACGGAAGTATTTATTTTGTCGATATCGAAAAAATGGGGAACAGATCCGTGGTGAATACCCTGCAAGGGCATTCGAGTTCTGTGTTAAGTATCAGCTTCAATTACGACGAATCGTTCCTCGCCACGAGCGACTTGCAGGGTCTCGTTATTATTTGGAAGAAGGGGAATATGTCTCAATAATTTTGCTAAAAATTACTTTAAGCCGATGCTTTCTAATGTTACGTATACATACATTTTTATTCTTTTTCTATATTTTTCTACAGCAAATCGAAGCGTGAAGAAGGGAAAACTTTAGTGGCAACCCTGCCACTAAAGTTTTTATTTGAAATTCCCTGACTTTTCCAGGTTTTCCATGATAAAGCACATTATTTTCCAGGATTGCTATTAGTAGTTATAGGAAAATATTAAAATAATGTAATTAACAATTTGTAAAATAAAAAATAAACTTTATTAAAAAAAATTACACATAAAATAACAAAAATACATATTAAACAATGTGCTTGAAATGGATTGCCTTTTACCGATCTAATAAACTGCGCAATTTCGGGATTTATATTGGAATCTCCCCAATCTGCATTAAAAACTGTTTTCTTCTTGCTCATGTTTTCAATAGCGCCGGTTTACGTCTACGTCCACAAAGTAAAAATCACTTAAAAACATGGAAAATTATTTTCCATGTTTTAAGTGATTTTCTTCTATTTAATAGAAGAGAAACAGATCTACGCCGTCTACGTGTCTATGTGAAAATTAGTTAGGTTAGGTTCAGAGAACACGTTTAGAAGGGGCACAACAGAACAAAAAACAGAAGTAAATGAAATAGCGTGTTTACGTGGCTACCACTACGGAACATATGCGATAGTTACCACGTTCAGAACGCACGTAGGGCGTATTCGAATAAACCCAAGCAGAAAAATATGTTCAGAATAGCTTTGTTCCTAGAAGAGTTTGGAACAGTCCCAAACTGTCAGACGCATGCGCATACACATTATAGCGTTCCAAGTACCATCAATCACGAATTTGAACTACTAGTTTGTTGTTTCAAGAAGCCAAAATGACAATTTCCAACAGTTTGCAAACTGTCCAAACAATTCTCGGATTAGGATTCTCGAATAAAACGTCCGGTATGCAAGCAAATTTTCTGCAAGTTTTGATGCTATATTCAATATTATTTCATTGATTTTTCCTGGCTTTATTGAATTTCCCTAACCTTAGTCAAAATCCCTGACTTTTACCATAACTCTACAAAATTCCCTGACTTTTTTGTTATTTCTAAATTCCCTGACAATTCCAGGTTTTCCAGGTATTCCAGGTCAGTATCAACCCTGGGAAAGTTCAGAAATACTTTTTTTTCTTTTTGTTTAAATAAAAAAGGATACATTTTTAGTTGTGGTTTATTTTAAATTTTTTAGAGGTAATTTTGGATTGTGTCATGATATTTTAATAGAATGGTTAATAGACTAGGCGGTCTCAGTTTTGGTTTGGGTGAATCGTATATCCACGGAGATTTTTGGCTTTTAAATATCGCTAGAAATGAAAATTTTTCTATGCGCATAAAAAAAACGTAGGCTTAACTTTTGACAGCACAATATGTTAAAAAAATTCGAAAATGTTCATATTTTTCTTCCTATTTAATTATGGATCTCTTCAAGAGTTGATTTTAGGCGAAAATGGAAGAGGAAAGAAATGTTTGTAATTACATTTTTTACAAAACATGAGTAATTACAAATCGAATGAATCATGATTATTATTGTAAAAATCGAAAAAATCGCAAAAATGGGGTTAAAAAACATTACTTTTTAGGGAATTTTTTTTTTGGGTATTTAAATTGGGTATAGGATCTTTATACTTGGCTCAAGAAAACTTCATGTTATGTAGAATCATCACACCAAATTTCATCAAAATCGGTTGGACAGATTTTGTATAATTTTGCAATCCAGATTTTGAAAAAAATTTGCAAATTTTCAAAATTGTGCACAACAAAAACCAAGGCCCTTAGATACTTGAAAATTTAATCACATATAGAAGGGCTCAAGCTTTCAAACTTTTTTTGAAAAATTTGAATCCGTCAATTAGGAGCGCTCTGGCGCTTGTTTAAACATTGGTCGAATTTTTGTACTTATAAACAATTAGAAGAACTTTGTGAATATTCAATCAAAACAAATTTCTTAAAGCAGGTTTTAAGTTCTTGGAAAGACGCTTCTTTAAAAAAAACAGATTGATTGATCAATTAGTTACGTACTTATAGCCGATCAAAGTTAACCGTCATTTACACTAAATGTACTAGGACATCCGGGCTCGGAATAAACATTGGGTTTTTTCTTTTAAATAAGCAAGATACACCCTCGGAGTAAAGAAATTTTAATACTCTCCGATCGAACTTTGCCGACAAGTTACAACTGAAACTGGGACGTTTGAACTACTCGCTCAGATTTTTTACCTGCCAAGATTTGTTTGTAGTATTCAGTGTAGACACAAAAACTATTAAAATATTTTTTTCTGCAAGAGGCCTGTTCACGTGGGTCAACATTATGAGGTCCACCACCAATCTCGCGCACCTCTCCACTTTTTTCCATCCTCGGTCTCGCTCGTTCAAAGTATTTTGTATTCTTTAATTAATTTTGATACAGAACCTCAAAATTTAAGTCGGAATTGGGTTTTTTCTTTTAAATAAGCAAGATACACCCTCGGAGTAAAGAAATTTTAATGCTCTCCGATCGAACTTTGCCGACAAGTTACAACTGAAACTGGGACGTTTGAACTACTCGCTCAGATTTTTAACCTGCCAAGATTATTCTGTGTTTAAGGATCTCGTCATACTAAATTCACAATATTCGACAGAATAAAATTGTATTTATAAGGAAATATCGTTTCTGACGGAAATACTCGGATTTTTAACAACCTGCCAACCTGTGTTCGACGATCTTGACGTACGAATGGAAATTCGCAATATTCAACGAAATAAAAATGTTTTCGTAAAGGAATATCGTTTCCGATGGGATAAAACGAGGAAAAGTATCTCAATGATATTTATTAATAACTAAAAACTACACTAATCATAATTACAATGTAGTCTACCAATACAAGAAACATTATCAAGCAATCACGAGTCCGATACGGACATAATATGTAGTATCTACATTATCTACAAAAATTAATTTAAAAAATATCCAATTACCCACCTGTACGAGTTTACTTAACGAGGAAATACTGGGGCTTATACAAAAACTACACACCATTCTTGGACAACAACGATTGGACGTTAAGTTTCAGTTTGTACATTAGTTTTTAAAGATACTACCCTACGAGTTCCTACAACGATAACATTTAAGTAACATTTACGGATATATAAACCGTACGAGCCCAAACCCGAAATGAACGGTTAAAACATCTATAAGATCCGCGGGGCCAATTTAAAAATTCAAGTATCACAAAAGATTAATAAAAATTAATTTCTATTAGGAATTCTAAAATAGTTTCGTTAATCCCGGTTAATCGTGAGTAATAAAAAGGTCGATATAAAAATAACGCTTTCCGCGTGTAGCAAAGTATAAAACAATTCTACTAAAAATTGAAAGTAACGCGGCCCATTCAGATGTTCAGGTAGAAAATGCGGCCCAATTAAACGATCGCCATATACTCCTGCCCATACATTGACACCGAATCTCCTCTGAAAGCTAAAACGACGAGTAGTGTACGGGTTTTCATCTGACCAAATGTGACTATTATGGCTGCAAAGAAATTAGCTCTGTTTCACTTTAAATAAAATTTAATATTGAAGTTACAAAACTCCAAGAGTTCAAGTAATTTAAATTTCACTTCACAACCGTTTCAATTTCATTACAGAAATAATGAAATAAAAAACAACACTCACTAAATAAATTATAAAGAGAGGGTGAAATGTATGTAGTATTTAAATATTGACTGTAAGTAATAGAAGATAAAAAACAACTCGGTACGTGTTTCCGACCTAGGCTTACCTGTATCTAGGTAAATAACCCATCTGACCCACTTTTAATTTGCACGTGCACAAATAGTCTAGAAGCCAGATAGGGTGCCGTGGCCAACAGAGTGCCACGGCTGCAAACAACTTATTCGTAGTATTTTGAGCTCCTGAATCCAAAAAACTTGGTCGCAAAGCCTGAAAGTGGTGAGTTTAATTGTTATCAATAAATTAAATGTTTAAATGGCTGAAAAAAGTTTTTATTTTTATAGCTAGTAAACGGAACCCTATCTGGCTCCTAGACTAATACGAACTGTAGTAGGATCGTATTCCATGCAAAGTAGAGCAAAAAGTTGTCGGTCTTTTATCAAAGGAAAATTGAATGTAATGAATACGGATGATTGTTTTCCAATGTACGATTATTACAATGTATCATTTTTAATATTATTAACGTTTTTACGTTTTATAATTCATTATGTTAAATAATACACAATATTAGTATTTCAATTTATTATACAATATGCAGTTGCGTATAACCAAAGTTTACATGATATAATAAATGTAAACTTTAGTGTAAATATAAACTTTGGTGTAACCTAGGTAGGTACTTATTGTTTTTGAGAAAGTAATATGTTTTTTACCTGTTTAAAATGTTAGCACGAGTAAAACAGCGTTCATCCGTCCAGCGCACTTTGTTTTAAAAATAAAAATAAAGTTAGCGTCTGCTGCACTTCGATTTAGCTGNTATCTAAATTTAATTTATAATTATGAAATTTTTAATTCTCATTTCTTGAATATTTCTATCCGGAATGAATCTCAGATTTAATGAGGTCAGTAATGCCAGTGGCATTTGGCGGTAGCACTATGGGACATTATGTGTAGTTGCAATGGGTGATATTAATCTGTGTAATAAAATAATAAGACTTGTTAAAGCATTTATCTTGCTTGTGATCACTTTGAGTAAAACTGCTAAATCCGATTTATTATCATCAATTATTTTCAACATTCGAGGCATACTAAAGGTTGAAAAAACAACAAGTGTTGTTTGTTAAATAGCTTTGATTTTAATGAACTCTGAAGCATTTTTGTGATATAAAGCCTTGAAAGTTTTCGATTTCCAATTTTCAGAATTTTTCCCTCAAGCGGTAACGCCACTTTAGAGAGTTTAGAGTCGAAAGAAAAGGTGATTTTAGAGAATCTTCAAGGAAAATTCTATACAAGATATAATGTCAGGAACAAAAAGGCTTTATGATACACTGAATTTTTTCAAACGATTTGGATTCAAAATGGCGTCTGTAGGTGATG